CTAACCTTGCATTTGTCAGCTAAACTGAACTTGATTGTGATAATATTTGTTTTTATTCATTGCTACTTTTGGTATGTTAATATTTTGCTTAGGACTCTTTTTAAATCTCTTTTTAAATATGATGATAATAAAGAGAATTTTCAATGCTTTAATTCCATGTACACCCTGCCATTATCCTTAGCAAACTGTTTCTTCATATTTTAATTTTCTTTTAATTCTTAAAAACACTAGGCATTTTCATAGCTTATGTGTGAGACTGTCAATGTTCAAGCAATTCTCCCACTTTGGCCAGGCTATGTAGTCACAGGCTTATTGTTTCTAAGAGCTAACTTTAGTGCCTGTGGTAGATCTGTTTACCAGGCTCTTTTTAGAAATGAGTGGAAGATATAGAAGCATTAGGGATGGTTCTAGAGAAGGATTTTCCTATCTTAGCATTGTCAACATGTTGGATGGGATGATTCTTTGTAAATGGTGTTCCCTTGTACATTGTAGGATGCTTACCAGATCCTCCCCACTAGAGGCCGATAGCACCTCATCATCATAGTCCTCTTCCCTCAGTGATAATAAAAAGTGTCTCCAGACATTGCTTAAGTTAATAAATGTGCCCAGAGGCCAGGCACAGTGGCTCACACCTGTGATTTTAGCTCTTTGGGAGGCCGAGGTGGGTGGATCACTTGAGGCCAAGAGTTCCTACAGCATTCCTCTGTCAAAAGACAAAACTACAACAACTAAAAATCTAATTGTCTGTTATTAGCCATTCTGGAATTGGTTAACATCTCATTCTATGAAATAGAATGAGTGCTCTTCAAAGAGCTGAGCAGAGGGGTTTAGCTTTGTTGGCAGAAAAGGGCTAAAGAAAACAGAAACAGAACAAAAAGCAATTGGTGGTTTCAAAGTGACTTTTCTTAAAGAGGTAAAGCACAGGGGACCCCCTTATCATCCTGGCTCAGGTAAATTCAGTCCCTTCTGGGGCCCAAGTAAACTGACTGCTGTGAATCTCCTATTAAAGAAAAAATGGTCCTGTTTCAAAGTTTGTTTTGACAATGCATCTCTCAGCATGAGTGACTTTATTCTGGCTTGCTCAGGATTGCTGAGGCCAAGTGCAGGAGCTCAGTCCCCAATAATGGCCTCCTGTAAACTTTGTTCAACGCCTTCATACCAGCAGGCTGATACCCTGGAGTTTTGCAAGGGGTGCTTCTCTCATGGGAATTCTTCCTCACCTACATCCCTGTTATCTTCTCAAATTCTGTCAGTCCAATACCTTGTATGTTAGTAGATACCCTTTGATGCAGGAATCCTTTCTCTTCTTCTTCCCCAGTCTCTCCCCGGTGGGTGGTTTTGCAGAGCCCTGTGTTTTATCTATCTATCTATCTATCTATCTATCTATCTATCTATCTATCTATTGCCCCACTTTCCTCCCTGACTTCTGCAGTAGATGGAGTTCCTCGAGGTCTGGGACCTGCTCCGGTTTCGTCTTTATTCTTGTCTTTGTAAGTCTCTACATTCCTGGTGCTTATTATAGTATCTGGCCCATAGTTCATTCGTAGCAAAATTCCTTAAATTTTATTATAACATCAAGAAGGAAAGTTGTAAAATTGTACCTTAGCTAGTGCAAACAGAAAACAAAATGGCACTTCACCCAGCTGACGGTGGTGTGATTCCACATCAGTCCCCATTTTACACAGGAAGGTAGTTGCTAATTTAAGATTTCATGGCCAATAAAATATTTATGATGCTTTTAGTGTTCAATGCATTTATCTTATAGTTATTATTGTAAAAAAATGTATTTTATTTATTTTCTTTTTTTGGAGAGCATCTGGGGAGTTGTGAATCTTGGAATCTCAGGGTTTGTACTTGGCTAGATTTTAATGGACACATAGAGAGGAGCAACCTTCACTGGGCTTTGCAGAAGGCAGAGGATGGGAGGAGGAATAGTATCAGAAAAAAATAACTAATGAATACTTAGGCTTAATACCTGGCTGATGAAATAATCTGTACAACAAACCTCCATGACATGAATTTACCTTTGTAACAAGCCTGCACACATACTCCTCAACTTAAAGTAAAACTAAAAAAAAGTAATAATAATCATTTGGTAGAAGGGAACACTGAAGCCATGTGAATCAGAAGGGCCACTCTTAATTGCTTATTTTCACCGCTATGCCTCCCTTCACTCTGGAAATCTTCTAGAGGTCTTGTACTAAGGAGAGCATGCTCAGGTTTCCCAAGCTCTACAAAATCACCCAGAATGCTGAAGACTTCAACACAAGGGTAAACAGGCTTGATCTCAGAATTGTCACCTCAAAAAGAATTGTCACCTCAAAAAGGCCCTGCCTTCTGCTGTTCAATCCTGGTCATCTGCCTATGAGATATCTGAAGCTTGAAAAAGAACACTTGAAAAGCACTGAGACCGTGACTCCCATCCCAGCACACACAGTCAGCCAAGTAGGTTAGAGATTTCTTCTCTGGTGATGAGTTCACACCACATGGGGTGTATTCCCGAGTTCCAGTGTGTTGACTCCTTCCTGCTTCTCCCCATCAGCTCCTGAGATCAATGTGGGCAGCAGCCCCCACCTAGCCCAAGTTCAAGATCTGCTGTCAAAGACTTTTTTTAGGTGGTCACGCAGCCCTGCATGGAGACCTGATGGGAGCATGCCTAACTGTTGCTGGGTTTTTCATTTTAAATAAAATATTTCTTTAGCTAGTGAGTAAAATTGGCTATATAGGAACTCAGAGATCACATGAGTCACTTTTTTTTTTTTAATGGAACAGAGAATCAGCAAAGAGATCACAAAAGGTTTAGGTAATTATCAGAACACCGTGCAGATGCTGAGTTGGGTGTTAAATTTGTCACATAGAGGGGTCTGTCACATAGATGCCTGTCACAGCTGAAAGTGGCAGAGTGGTTGGGTGACCCTACCCAAAGGAAAGATAGATGTGTTCCTGGCCAGCGCAGGGGTGAGATGTGAGCACAGCTGCATGGCCATGCTGCTGTCTTGGGTCTTTGTCAGAGGTGATTCAGAAGTTTAGGCAGAGGTCATTGCCCAGATCAGTCCCAGTGCTACATGATGCTGGTGGTCATGACTTGCAAGGGTGGTTCCTGGGCCGTCAGTGAGAATAACACAGGGAGTTCCCTCTCTAGGTCTCAGTGAGAGAACAGTCTCTGAGGCTCTGGCTTCTGAGCCAGATATTCTTGATGGGCATCCTTCACAGCTGCCCTCTTCTGGGAAGGCTTCCTAGTCACATTCAAGACTGGGAACAAAGAGAAGAGATCCTTATTGTTTCTATTGTCTCCCATATCTAGTGATACTTAAGTGACTAATTTTATTATTCCTTGTTGACTGTGATTCTATTAATTGCAAAATATGACCCATTTTCACTGGATTATTTACAGAAATCCATTTTCTACAGCATTTGAATTCTAAGGCTGTTTTAGGTGAGAAATTAACAAGTAGAGCTAAGAATGCCTGGAAATCTCAGGCACTTTGATTTTTTTTTTTTTTTTTTTTTTTTTTTTTGAGAGAGGTCAAGGATGGCCCAAAATAAATATTTAAAATAGAAGATATTCCATTGTGTTATAATAACATTTTTCATAATTTTTTGTTGTTTCATCACTACTGAGGATCAAACTATATAATTCCCAGAACAACTTGTAAATTTTTAAATAAATTTAATCTGGGTTTTAATAGTTCTGTCATTGCAGTGACAAAACTAATAATGAAACTTAAGTGGGGAAATTCAGGGCAGGTGTGGAAAACTGAGATCAAGACTTAAAGGGTGGAAGATGGGGACATTTAAGAAGGCAGCTGAAAACTAAATTGTACAGGTTTTAAGTGTGAGGTTAAGAAATTGGGACTTAATTGCTTGGGCATTGAAGGGTCAAAATAGAATTTAGATTAAAAAAATGTTTATGATCAGACCATTTTAGGGAAATGAATCAAATGTGTCTTTTAACATGAGTGGTAGAAGGAAAACTACTGGCAGAGATTCCAGAGGAGAGTTTAGGGAGAATTAAACCCAAGAATGGGAATGTGTTTGCAGAGGAGGGAGCATGTTTTGAGGGGAGCTTCTTTGTTCATCAAGATTGTGGCATATCTGTGACGTAAGAGACTCTGACAGCACAGTGGATATAGATGTTAACACACCAGACCTTGCCTCTCTTGCCCTCGGAGCTTACCTAAGGTCAGAGTTGATGGTCAAAAATTGTGTACATATTGCTTATTTACCAATGTGATGAGTCCTGTGGTCTGTGGGTAGAGCATAATTGTCATTTAAAAGAATTCATTCTCCTCACTCCCAAGAAGGCATAGAAACATGGCACCAATTTGAGACAAACTGGGGTTCTGCCAAAGCCAAGGGACCCTTGTCTAACAGAGGGACACCTTCAGGCTTCTTCCCTTTCCCCAAGGGCTGCCTGAAGCTGTCCTTTAGATGCCTGTCCACACCCTGAGCCCCACATGAGTTTTGTTTGACCAAGAACTAAAGTCATGAGAGTGGCTTCATTTCTTCCTTTGATACTGTGTGGACCACGTCACAAAGACAGGAAATTTTACCAGAAAATTTTCTCCACCATCCATGCAGAGAGTCTCAAGTATAAATCAGTAATGTTCATGATGGGCAAAGCAACATGATTATTTGGAAGAAATATTTTTGAAAATGTATGGGTACGTTGTATCACAGCCATATGCATACTCCCATGGTTGCTCCTAGCCTTTGATCTAAAAACTGATTTGAGGTTAAAACCAGCATGTCACTTTTACAGGAACCCAAGTCCATTAAGCGCCCTAGTGTCAGGCCACACTCAAGTTTTCTCATCATGCATCCAGTCAGCATAGTTGAGCAACCCTCCTTGAAGTGTAATGTGGTTATTGGCAGGAGAATGAAAAATCAGTTTTGATTTTAAATTGTTCTTGTTGAAATTTTAGAGGGAGGTGATGGAAAAGAGAATATACGTACCATAAAAAAATGGCTCCTGAAAACATTTGTTCTTGATTCCCCAGAGTTCATACCATGGAAACAGATTCCTCATCGTTTAAGAATACCATATGGTTGCGTATATATGGGCATGAATTAAACAACTGGGCCTTTCAACATTTTTGGAGAAGGCTATTTCACACTTTTAAAATGGATGTGCTCCTATAAGATCAGGTATGTTTTATGTACTAAAATAACAGTGCACAGGTATAAAATATAACTTAGCGGTACCTCTCTCTGCTCCTGGCATTGTTGGTTCATATTAGCTTAAACTATTTCTGACCTATACCTTATTACTGTAACTTGGGTGTTTCATATTATGCAAATCCTAATGACTTGCCTGGTTTCCCATTAAGTTAAATTTGGGCAAGATTGCCAGTGTTCTCTGAGACTGCAATTTTTAAAATTCAATTATTCACTCATGTTTTACAAAGAAAAGAGTGTGTTCTTTATGCCAGGGTCTTTCTGGGTTCTTGAACACAGTAGTGTGCATAACAGAGAAATTTCCAACCTCATGGAACTTACACATAGAGAAGGCAAATCTTGAACAAGAAGTGTTACCAAAGTCAAAGGTCAAGGTCAGATGGAATGTATTCCAAGGAAAACTAACCTGGTATTTCATTCAGCTGCACTACCTATGAATGTACAGTTGTATAAGGCCTGCCTTTTATAAAGCACCCTCTAGTACTTGTGCTACTTATAATGACTATACTAGTACTTATACTACTCTTTATGGGAGGAAAAAATAAATTTTCTACTCATGAATTCATGGTGTTGGAAGCAGAAAGACTAGTTTTAATTCTAGTACAGGCAGTATAGGTATGAGCAAGTTAAGTTCTAAATGTTTGTAAATTAGAAACTTAGAATACATCTTCACTCTTGATGTAGTCTAGACGTCACTAGTTGAGGTGTACCTCCTCTGAGTCCCTGGAGTCTTGAGAGACTCATAGAGAGTGAGGTGGGGGAGGGACCTGGCTCAGTTAATGTTCTGGAATGCAGGCTGCTCTGAAACAGTGCTGCTGGAAGTTCTTGAAGCAACGGTGGAGAGCGGAAAAGCAGGATAAACTTGTCATCTGCTCTCCGACCAAAATGTCTTGACAGATGCATTGGTGTCAAGGCAATGATGCCACTTCTAACTTAATTATCCCTCCTGGGCCGTGTGTGAAGGACATGCCTGAGAGGTTCACTTCAGTTGCTCCACTGATTCTTGTTGCATCAAAAACATACATGAAAATTCATTCCATCTGTTTTCATGATTGTTTAACGCTGTCTCTTCTGAAAACTATGCTATTACTTCGTCTTGAAATTATGCCTTTGTCAGAGTCATTCCAAATACATTTTGTGGTTTAGCTGGATGATGATTTAATGTTTTCAATGAGATTTAATGGAAAATAAAAACAAAGATGATGCCGCCTTTATAAATGGCATCAACCTAGCTCTTTAGAATATTGTGAAATTAGTTCCTTGATCATTTTGTCTGGTTAGAAAATAAGATATACTTTTCTTATAAATTGTGGATTTTTCCACAAATATTTTCAAAGAGATTTTTGCAGGCAACATTTTGGGACTGTTACTACTAAAGGAGGACCTGTGTGGTTTCTCCCAGTTGTTCACAGAAGTCTGGCTTAGTGACTGTTTCCAGACCTCAATTGGCTAATCCTACATGATATCGATTCCTGGACCCAACCAGGTTTTGCGAATCACAGGAGTCTGGAAGAATAGACTCACTGCGGGTAGACCCTGGAACCATAATATTGAAATGCCTCTAAGAGGGTGTGCTGCCTGTCTGGGATAGGGTTTCTATCTCTCTCGATTTATTACACTTTTCATGTGTATAATAAGCACTGTCATAATATTAGGTTTTATGTCACATGCAATCACAGATTATTCTAAATATTATTCAGTATTTTATCAGACCAACCAGATGAGAAATTTATTCTACTTTTTTTTTTTCCTTGTGAAAATCGTCCTCTGGATTTTGGGACAGGTAATGCCCTTTTCTCTCAGCTCAGCCCTCACTCAAGAATGGATCTGATCCTGGGTTTGCAAACGGCTAACTGACCTCAGTCTAGTTCTAGTAAATGCCAGCTGCTCTGATGCCATGGTCAGGCTTATCCTTCTTACCTTTTCCCTTGCTCTTTAAGGCTTTGTGTGCTAATGATGGGTATCTGCTAAGAAGAGCTTGGCTCCTTGCTGGTTAAGATAGGAGAACACAGGTTTAGTGAGGTCAGACCTCTCCATATGCACTTTGCATGGATTTCTCTAATAGAGACCTTTTTAGAGCATCATGTATTTGACCCCTGCTGACGTCACCACAGTAGTCTCACCCCATCTTATCGGGTCACCTTTCCACCTCAAGTTCACCTCCATGCCAAACGCAAGCTGATTACGTTTTTGCCTGAAATGGTCCTTTCTCCTCTTAACTGCCTGGTCACTCCAAATACCCATGTCTACTTCCCATACTACTTTTTTCTGAGATAATACTGTCACCATGGTTTGCACAGATGGTGGATAAATACTGTTCTGAAGGCTGGCTTGGGGAATCCAACTACTTCAGGTTTGGGTTTTTCTACTTTTTGAAATTTATTTGACATTTTAGATATATGACCAAAATGAAGACAACAAAATGACAAGGAAGGAGTCTCAGGAGTGGTATAATTGTAACAGAGCTGTTAAGATTAAGCAAAGTGTGGAAGAAATATTTTGTCAGCAACTTGCTTTAAGAATAAACTGTACAATTGAATGGGGCCTTTCCAGTCTGAAGTATCAGCAAGCTACAGCTTATAAATGCCTTCATCCACAAATGCTTTCTTAGGACCTCTTTCCTCCAGGAGTAGCTTATTGACAGGTTTTAAAAAGAAATGACATGCAGAGATGCTTGCCTATAAAACAGTTTAAATAGAACTATCTAGCCCCTAATGACTGTGACTCCTTTGAAGAATGCTATCTTTAGAGGTTCCTGGTGAGTCCCAAAATCTCACTTTGGTTTGGGAGTTTCTCCTCCAAGGGAATAAACTATTTCCAGATGGCATTGGCTTTGACTGGGGCAGAGATATTCTTTCTTAAACTGAAAACTAAAATGCAATGTTGAATTACTCCTCCAAAACGATGAACCATAATATTAGTTTTATCTTTTTTCATTAAATTGTAATGCTCAAATTACCTTACATGTAAACATTTTATCGAATGCCAGTATCATGACGAGTTAGGAATTAATACATTGTCAAACTCTAGAAGCTACAATTAGAAAACATTCTTTAGATTGATCTGTTTCTGCTGTTCTGTCAAATTAGAAGCATCCTGTTCCATAGTCTTAAGGGCCTTTCCCCATGTGGGTGTTCTCTTCATTAGCTAACATTCACTTCAGTCCTAAAGTGATCAAAGAGTTGTCCCTTGTAAAGGTCATCCAGATTTGTGAATTGCATCACTTTGTGCGAATGCTTCACACTGTTTATAATCTTTTCTTTTAAAAACAATTTTTTAGAGAATGGGGCTGACTCTCTTACCCAGGCTGGAGTGCAGTGGCACAACCATAGCTCACTGTGTCCTTAAACTCTTAGGCTCAAGTGATCCTCCTTTCTGAGCCTCCTGAATACCTGAGACTACAGGCGTACACACCATGCCTGGCTTTCTCACGCTTCTTCTCTCTTCTGATTGTGTAGAGGATTACTTCCCACCCTGTTGTCTCCTTAGCCTGACTGGGTGGAAGAGACCTCCCTATGTTAAACATTTCAGAGTGTGTTTTCTGTATTTTTTCCAACCCCTACTTTTTCTTTTTCCTGAGAAAGTGGTTCTCAACCATTTGATTTTTGCCCCCTGGGGGACATCTGGCAATGTCTGGAGATATTTTGGGTTGTCACAATTAGGATGGGTGTCACTGGAATCTAGTGGGTAAAGGCTAGGGGTGCTGCCAAACAGTCTGCAATGCACAAAAGAGCCCCCAAACAAATAATTATCTGAACAGAAATATCCACAGTGCCAAGATGAAAAAACTATGAACTAATGAAATGGCCACAATCTACTTTAATAAAAGATCAATTCTCAAGGGGCTCCTGCTACTTCATTAAATTGTCCACTTTATGTACTTTCTTATGTAGTGCAGACATTTTGGCATCTGAATCTATTTTTCTGCCCATCACAATTCTCTCCTACAAATTCTCTCCTACAAATTTTCTATTAGGTATAAGTTTTTCAAATGAGCAAGCACTCCTTTTTTTTTTTTTTTTTTTTTTTTTTTTTTTTTTTTTTTTTGACGGAGTCTTGCTCTGTTGCCCAGGTTAGAGTGCAGTGGCACGATCTCACCTCACTGCCAGCTCCACTCCTGGGTTCAGCCTCCCGAGTAGCTGGGACTACAGGCGCCCACCACCACACCCGGCAAATTTTTTATATTTTTAGTAGAGACGGGTTTCACCACGTTAGCCAGGATGGTCTCAATCTCTTGACTTTGTGATCCGCCCGCCTCGGCCTACCAAAGTGCTGGTATTACAGGCATGAGCCACGGCACCCAGCTGCAAGCACTTCTTAGTCTAATAATTTCTTTTCTCTGAAGTTGTCTTTTTTAGTCTTTGGAGTCCATTTTTCTAACCCAGTTCATGAATATAAACTTGTTTATAAAATTTATAGGTTTTTTTTTTCACTAACTAGGTGACCTTGAACATATTTTACTTCTCTTTTCTGTACCTCATCTGGAATATGCACTTAATTACATTGTTTCAAATACTTGTTAAAGTATTAAAGGTACTAATATATGTAAGGTGCTTAAAAATGTGCCTGTCATATATAAGTGCTTATCTAAGATATTTTTTCAACATGGAATGTCTTATAATATCTAATAACTTTGTTTATTATGTGCACATCCATTAAATATGAAACACATTGTCCTTTTACACAAATGCTTTGTATGTTTAATTTCTTTTAGTCCAAGAGTCAACCAGCATTAGAAATATTGGTATTAGAAGGAAACTCAAAAACTTGTTAAACCATAACTGCAAAATTTGATTTTCAGCTTAGTCTCTCACAACTTCTAAATTTTTCATGCAACCAAAGTTTTCTGTAGGATCCCTTAGGGCAAATGCAAGTGGAGAGCTAAGGCACATGTTTCCACCTTCAAAATAATTTCAACTTCTATCACTTCTTACCATCTCCATCATAGACACTCTGGCCCTGCATTTTCT